TGTTGTCAATTCTCCTCTTTTTGCTGAGGAAGATTGGCCCTGGGCTAACATCTGTGCCCAGCTTCCTCTACTTTATAGGTGGGATGCCTGCCACAGCATGGCTTGATAAGTGGGTCACAGATCCACGCCCAGGATCAGAACCTGTGAACCCCAGGCTGCCAAAGTGGAGCATGCGAACTTAACCACTATGCCACTGGGCCAGCCTGATAAGAATTATTTTAAAAATCCAGTCATTTGGCTCTGGAAAGTGTCATAAGGGCATACAGCAAATGAACAAACATCTATTCAACAAAATGTACTAAGTGAGAGTAAGAACAGTGAGTCTGTGGCATTTGAACCACAACTTGCTTTCTGCCACTCTCAGTTCAGTGTGATGGAAATTCCACTCCAGGCAGGGGCAGCCAAGAACACAAGACTTCCTCTATCCCCTGTTCTCAGTCAAGGGCCATGGTATTTTTCTGGAAGGGGCAGTCACCAGCATTTCTCATCCCCTCTCAGCTACATATTGCAGGGGCTCATTCCAGGTGAGTGAAGCAAGAAGTTCAGGGACTCACTTTTCCAACTGGCTGTCATTGATAGGGCAGAGACTCTGCCTCACACATGGCATGTTGAGAATACTGGAGCCCCAAGTGACCTTGCCCCAGCTCATTCATAGGGTTGAAGTTCTAAGCCATGAGAGGCAAGCCAAGAAGACCAGAGGCTGCCACCCACACTTCCACAGTTGTGACTCAAAGATTTTGCTCATAGGCAGAGGAAGTCCCTAAGAACACATGCTCCAAAACTCTCTCCAAAGAAGCTGACTTCATTTGAAACAAATGTGTGGAAGTTCAAGACTAAAGATACTCTCAAAAACAGTGGAGGATTTGATGGTGAGCAATGAAGTAACTTCACAAGAGCAACAAACCAAACAATTAGGCCAGCTAGTTTACAAGAGAACCAGGGAAAAAGATAGATAAGGAAAGCCCTCTTGGGATCAGAACAAACCTCAAACCTTGGCCTCAAAAACCACCTCTACAAAGGGGCAGGAATTAAATGGGATCAGACTCTGGAGCAATTTATGTCCCAGGGCACTGTCAAAAACAATAGTGTGATCAGCCTACAATAACAGTGTGATCAGGAAAAGAGAGAGTCAACAAGAGCCTTGTCAAAACCACTGTCATCCCCAATGTGACTGTAAGCATGCCCAAGACCGTGCTCTCTGAAGAGCAACACCAGAGGCTCACATGTGGGGATAACAGATGTCACTAAAATGTCAGCCAGTCACTAAACAAATAAACAAGCAAACAACAAGCAGCCCTGGAAAGTACATGATCTAGAATGTCAAATTTTCACAGAGAGTTTATGATACATGAAAGGAAACGAAGGTGTGACCTACAAACCGGAAAAAGGAAGGTAACAGAAACTGCCCGTGAGAGGGTGTAGATGATGGATTTAACAAAGACTTCAGAGCAGCCATTACAAATATGTTTAAAGAACTAAGGGAAACCACGTTTAAAGAAGGAAGGTATGGTAACAAGGTCACATCAAAGAATATCAATAGAGACAGAGAAGATATAGATGGATAGAGATTATGCAATCTAAAGAAAATAGAGAAGAAAGGAAGAAAAATGTAAAGAGCCCTCAGAAAATGTGGAACACTAAGTACTCCAACATATGCATAATAGGAGTACCAGGAGAAGACAGAGAAAGGAGCAGAAAAAACTTTCTCCCATTATTTCTTCAAATAAACTCTGGGCCTCTCTTCTCTTTTTGGGACTCCCATAATGTGTATATTGATTGGTTTACTGGTATCCCCTAAGTCCCTTGGCTCTGTTCACTTTCCTTTATTCTTTTTTCTCTGCTCCTCAGACTTGATAATTTCAAATGACCTGTTTTCAAGTTTGCTGATTCTTTCTTCTGCCTGTTCAAGTCTGCTGTTGACCCTCTAGTGAATTTTTCAATTCAGTTCTTTTATACCTCAGCTCCAGAATTTGGTTATTATAAAAATAACTTCTCTCTTTGGTATTCTTATTTTGTTCATATATGGTTTTCCTCACTTCCTTTAGTTCTCTGTTTTCCTTAAGCTCTTCGAGCATATTTAAGACTGTTGTTTTAGTCATTGTCTACTAAGTCTGAAGCCTCTGTTTCTTTAAGGTGTGTTTCAGGAAATTTGTGATTTATTTTGTTCCTTTGAGTGGGCCATGTTTCCCAGTTTCTTTGTATGCCTCACGATCTTTTGTTGAAAATTGGGTATTTGAAAAAACAGCCACATCTCCTACTCTTTACAGCCTGATTCCGTGCGGGGGAAGACCTCTACTATCAGCTTGGCACAAAAGCCTAAGGTCTTCTCAGGCCTCTTCTGGGCATGGGTTTTCCCCGGGTCTGTAGGTGTGTTTTTTTCCTTCCCAATTCCCCTGTATAAATGGCTGCTTGTAAATGTATTAATTTCCCTAAGAGTCTCACAAGCCCAAATTGTGTAAGAAGATCTTTTGAGCACCCTCTTACTGATACAGCCCATTGTCATTTATGGTTTGCAGTCATCCTTATTACTACAATTCATTACACCCTTCTCTTTGACTACAGATGCCATCCTGGTAGTCTTTGACAAGATGGCACTGACGAAACCATGATATGTTTTTGGTGTTATGAATAAATGAGAAATTAGTTTCATGACAAAAATTATAACTATAGAATAAAAAATAAAATTTGAGGAAAAAATACTTGTACGCACATGGTGATATTAACTCGGAATGTATAATGATTAATTTGACAAAATTACAAGTTGATCTGAAAATCCACAGTTGCAATGAGATGTTTTAATATATCCTATCAGGAAATGAAAAAAATAATATTTGTTAGTATACAAGTTGTCTGGAACAGTTAATAAAATATTTCTAAGAAACATTTACAGAATCAACAAACCAAAAAATAAACATTGTTTTAAATCACACACAAATATAAGTGAAAATGTACTGAGGAATTATGTTCAGCTGTGAGTAATCAGAAACACCCACAATCTGCCTGATAAGAGAAAGATGCTAATTCTCACATGGAAGGACTGGGTCAGAGCAGCAGAGGAACAAACTCCCATGTGATTCCTTTTGACTGCATCATTGTAGCTGAGTTGGTGGAATCAGGAACATATAGTCACTACAGTATTAACAGAACAAGGTGTTTACTATACAAATTAGACCTTATACAAATATAATCTAAAGAGTGCAGTCAGTACTTCAGAGAGCATTCTTAAACTGTGTCAGATCTTGCTGTGGAACTTATGGAGGTATCTGCTGAAACCTACAGCTCTGAAAAAATGGAAACCAGGTAGTCACTGTTGGTTTTGAGAACACTCTTGGCTGGCAGGGCAAAGAATCAGGAAAATGGGCTGGAAGACAGTGTATTCGAAAATCCTATGCATCTTCTCTCTTTGTACCATGGTTCCCAAAACTAAGGCCTTCTTTGCTTCGGCAAATCTCATGCAAGTGAGGCTACTGGTGAATTCTAACATGGAACCATAAAAAGAACAAGTTCTAGAAAATGTAGGTTACAACATTAGCCATATTGACATAATACATTCCAGGAGAGCCATCTCCAATTCTACATTTTACTGTCCTATCACAGGTCTCTTTTCTTTTTTTTTGTGAGGAAGATCAGCACTGTGCTAACATCCAATGCCAATCCTCCTCTTCTTTTGCTGAGGAAGATTGGCCCTCAGCTAACATCCATGCCCATCTTCCTCCACTTTATATGGGATGCCGCCACAGCATGGCTTGACAAGCAGTGCGTCAGTGCGCGCCTGGGATCCGAACCTGCAAACCCTAGGGCCGCCAAAGCAGAGAGTGCACACTTAACTGCTGCGCCACTGGGCAGGCCCCACAGGTCTCTTTTCTTAATGTAAAGTCTATTATCCAAAGCATAGTCAGAAGCAATGATAAAGAATAAATGGAAAAGATGTAAATAGTAATTCAAGTGAGATTATACTCAATGATAAACTTTTCATACTTACAAATTTATGCCAACTATTTATTAGCAAGGAAAATGGAAATAAGGCTCTTCTGATGAAAGAAAAAGAAAGCTTTTCTCATAAGAAAGGAGGACTATTTATAATGGGTAAGGAATATCCAGCACCTGCCACACGAGGCCAATAGGAAAATCCCAACAAATACCAAAATGTCATTTTTCAATGGCCCCTCACAGAACAATTAAAATATTATACTAAAATAACACAAAGTTATAGAAAATTAAATCCACTTGCATATTAGAAATACTCTCTAATTCACCCATGGATTCAAGACTTCAAAATGGAAAGACAAAAATTTTATTAACTGATTTAAGAGAAAAAAACACTACCTATTAAATTTATGTACTAGGGCTGGCCCTGTGGCTTAGTGGTTAAGTGCATGCACTCTACTACTGGCGGCCTGGGTTTGGATCCCGGGCACGAACTGGCGCACTGCTTGTCTGGCCATGCTGAGGCGGCGTCCCACATACAGCAACTAGAAAGGATGTGCAACTATGACATACAACTACTGGGGCCTTGGGAAGAAAAAGGGACAAAAAAAGAGGAGGAGGATTGGCAATAGATGTTAGCTCAGGGCCAGTCTTCCTCAGCAAAAATAAATTAATTTATGTACTAATGCTTAAAGCGTACCTAGAGAATTATCTCATCTCAATGTTTATTTGCGAAAGTATGAAGTAGAAATCCAGAGATCCACTCTAAGAATGAGGCACTGATAAAGACAATGTATTTATAATTGTGAAAATTAATAAACAGAAAAGTCATGTAAAATGGAGTGAGGAGGCCAGAGGGGGAGCTCTCATGTCCTTCAATGACTGCAGAGCCCAAAAGGAAGAAGAAAGACTTCCTCTTCTTCCCCAGCAACAGCTCAGCTGATGAGAGGCTGTCACAATCAGCCAATGAAAAGCCACTACACTCTGAACTCCCAGTCTCCTCCAATGGACTCTTTGTTTACAACAGCCCTCCCAACTTCCTCATCCCCTCTATACACGAGTTTCTCCTCCCCTTGTTGCTCAGTGCTTGCATATGGTTCACCATGGTTGCAGATCCTGAATTGTAATTCTTTGCTATCAAGAATAAATCCATTTTTGCTGGAGAAATAAAGGACTATTTGCTTAAGGTTATCATGATCTTACAACATTTCTTTCACGTTCTGAATTTTATGGCTTATTATACATGAGTTAATTTGCATCAGGCTTTCTCCTATTACTTACATTTATAGGATTTCTCTCCAGTGGGAGTTTTCACATGACTTCGAAAGTATTTGTTAAAATTGAAACCTTTCTTCTAGTTTTCACATTTATAGGGTTGCTATCCATTGTGCTTTCTCATCACATGGCTTTTTAAGGATGAGGGCCAATTAAAAGCTTTCCCACAATGCTTACATTTAAGAGGTCTCTCTCCAGTGTGAGTTCTTTCATGGCTTTGAAATGTGCTGGGACGACTGAAGGCTTTCCCGCATTCTTTACATTTATAGGGTTTCTCTCCAGTGTGCACTCTCATGTGTCCTCGAAAGACTGTGTGATAAATGAAGGCTTTTCCACATTCCTTACATTCATAGGGTTTCTCTCCAGTGTGAGTTCTTTCATGCACTTGAAAGGATTGGAGATAACTAAAGGCTTTTCCACATTTCTTACATTCATAGGGTTTCTCTCCAGTGTGAGTTCTTTCATGTATTCGAAATGTACTGGGATTATTGAATGCTTTTCCGCATTCTTTACATTTATAAGGTCCATCTCCTGTGTGCAATATCATGTGTGTTCGAATACTTGTGATGTAAGTGAAGGTTTTCCCACATACCTTGCATGCATAGGGTTTCTCTCCAGTGTGAGTTCTTTCATGTATTTGTAAATCTAGAGATGAACTAAAGATTTTCCTACATTTTTTACATTCATAAGGATTCTCAGTGTGTGTCCTTTCATGCCTTTGAACAGACTGGCGATAACTGAAAGCTTTCCCACATTTATTACATGTAAAGGGTTTCTGTCCTTTGTGATTTCTTTCATGTTTTTGAAAAGACTGGCGATAAATGAAGGCTTTTCCACATTTTTTACATTCATAGGGTTTCTCTCCAGTGTGAGTCCATTCATGTCTTTGAATTGATTGGTGAAAACTGAAGGTTTTCCCACATTCCTTACATTTAAAGGGTTTCTTTCCATTGTGATTTCTTTCATGTTTTTGAAAAGATTGGAGATAACTGAAGGCTTTTCCACATTCTTTACATTTATATGGCTTCTCTCCAGATTCCTGATACTCATATGGTTTGTGTTGGGTGTGACATCTGATGTGCCTATTAAGGGATGAATGACGCACAAAGACTTTTCCACACACACTGCATTCACATGGTTTTACTCCAATAGGAAGTTTTTTGTTCAGATTAAGACTTAGAATCTGGCTGATGGTTTCTCCACACTGACTACCTTCTTTACTTTCACAGAGTCTCTCTCCCATAGTACTTCTATAAAAAATGAGAAGCACATTATGAATGGTTTATTAATGAGTTTATGTTTATTAATAGGTATTAGAATTACATTTTTATCATTTATGTTTATGTTTTCTGCCTTGTCTGAATTGTTTGAAAGTGAATAAACTTGGGGCCGGCCCCGTGGCTTAGCGGTTAAGTGCGTGCTCTCCGCTGCCGGCGGCCCGGGTTCGGATCCCGGGTGCGCACAGAGGCACCACTCCTCCAGCCATGCTGAGGCCGCATCCCACATACAGCAACTAGAAGGATGTGCAGCTATGACAGACAACTATGTACTGGGGCTTTGGGGGAAAAATAAATAAATAAAATCTTTAAAAAAAAAAAAGAAAGTGAATAAACTGAATGATCTACAAGAGGGCTCGACTATAGTTATTTTCAAAACAGTGACAGTCATCTGTGGGCTTTAAAATACTGTTTCCAAGTGAACTATTTTGTAAACACTGAACATGTCATATTTAAGAAAACATTTTTGGTGAAAATTTTCAAAAAATTTATTAGAAACTGGGCTTATATACTTTGCTTTTTAAAAAAAATTTCATGATATACTAAGATTCTCTTGTGGGATGCTGCTTTCTCTTGTGAGTGCAACTCACCTTAGATTTCTCCCTTGGATTTTGTACTGATCTTCAATGTCATGATAGTCCCATTTTTTCCCTAAAATACAGACCCAGAAAAATCATTAAAAATTATTAGAAATTACAGAAAAATTATTAGATTCTAGGTCCATGATGAGCTGTGACCATGCCTAGTTTATTTACCAAACTATTCCCTTTCCACCTTCCACATCTTATAACAGTGTTGATAAGCAAGAAATACTTGTTTTCTAACTGACTAAGTGAAGGAATGTCCTCATTCTTACCTACTGAGGCCAAGTTCCTGAAGGTTTCCTGCATCACATCTCTGTAGAGTTTCTTCTGCAAAGGGTTCAGCAGAGCCCACTCCTCCAGGGTGAACTTCACAGCCACATCTTCAAAGGCCACTGGGTCCTAAACCATCCCACGTATGTGTAGAGAATGGATGAGACTGACAGCACTGGGGATCTATACTTAATTCATAAGAAGTTCATGTATGACCTCAAAACATTGATTCTATGGCTTGGTCATCAGAACTCTTATTCTCTGTACACATTCAATTCCTCATAAACATAACTGCTCATGAACACATAGAAATTATTTCCACATTTTTACTCTGATCACTTCAAGTCTTATTGCTCTCTAATGGCAGAGTCTAGAACACCCTGAAGAAATGAAAGTCAAGTGTCACTTAACAAGGGGGATACATTCTGAGAAATGCATCATTAGGCAATTTTGTCATTGTGTGAACTTCACAGAGTCTACTTATACAAACCTAGATGGTATAGCCCACTACACACCTAGGCTATATACTGCTTATCTTACGGGACCACTGTTGTATATGAGGTCTGTTGTTGACAAAAATGTCATTATGCAGCATATGACTGTAATGCTATAAAAATAAAAAAATGTTTCCATTTTAAGACCATCAATTCCTTGTGAGAAAAACACTTTGATCTCCTTCCTTCTTATCTACCATATCACTCAGCACTCCACGAAGCACATGGTCAAATATGGATAAGATTTTAATGAATAAAACACAGTGAAGAACTGGAAGCTTTTTCTTCTATTCCCACCACCAAACATGAGAAGCCAGGAGGCTTATGGAGATCCAACTTGCAACAAGGTCCAGCTGGCCATGCTGTCTGGAAATACTCCAGGCCAGAAGGAGTCAGTTTTCAGCTGGCTGAATAAAAATATTCTTGTGGACAATTATTAATTTTAACTTGTTTGTTTAATATTTATCACAATACTCATTCCATCTGTCCCATTTCATAAAGCTGGCAAGTTAATCAGAAGTTAGAGCTCAAGCATGAGGAAGAAGGCATATATACCCATGGGCCTTAGGGTTGCTTCCTACCAATTTTCAGCACACATACACGTGAAGTGAGCATAAGTGAGGCCATCTTGTTATACTACATGGCCCCAGCCCCTCCTCTGTGTCACTACTTGCTGCTCTGCATATACTCTAAAAAGTTCACATGCTCTCCTGATTTATGGCCTCTGCTTAAGTATGTACTCCCCAATAGCTTGATACATTAAAAACTTTGTTCTATGCGTTTCTCTCCAGGAACAGGCTGACCACAGGCAAGAAACACACCTACAAGGTATCCATCACAGCTGACAGAAGGATGGAACTATGTGATGCCTGGAGCCCATCATGCCTGGAGACCAACATCCTTGGACCCCCTCCTTACTGCTCATTTTCCCTATATAACTGCCTCAAGATTCTTTAATCTTTGAAGATTTCTTTTTGAGACATTAATCTGCCATCTTCCTGATTTTGCTGGCTAATCAAATTAAAACTTCCTTTCTTGATCTCTAGCTTGCTGTGATTAACTGGCTCAGACTGTGGTGAGCAGAGCAAGCCTATTGCCTGGTAACACACATATTGAGATGCTAAGATGACGGAAAAGCTCTTTCCAGCAGAACCGTAACAGTGTATCCCTGGGCCTTGCTGATCTTAAGAAACCAGATAAGAGTTGTAGCTTGCAAGTGAGTTCATTGAAGTCCACAATGGAGACTCCTTCTGAGTCTGGACTTTTGTTACAGGAGAGAGTGCCTACACGATCAGCCCTCAAAAAACACTGCACACTGAGTCCCTAATGAACTTCCCTGGTAGAAAATACTACACGTGTGTTGTCACAACTTTTGCTTGGGAAACTGAGCTCATCTTACATGATTACAGTAAGAGAGAACATTTGGAAGCTTGCACCTAGTTTCCCTCTAATCAAATTTAATTAAGTACTAAATAGACTAATGAAAGATAATTAACTATCCTAATATAAAAATTGAAAAATTTTTTTGGTAATGTCAAAGCAGAATGAAATAAGTGGAAAGATGGCACGTGTTCTTAAAAAGAACTCCATGCATCAAGATGTTACCGATCCCAAATTATATGTTTATAAAATTTCATAAATCCCCCAAACAGACTTTTCAGGAGTCAACAAAAGTACTTCTCCAGGGCCGGCCCTGTGGCTTAGTGGTTAAGTGTGTGCGCTCTGCTACTTGCGGCGCAGGTTCGGATCCTGGGCGCGCACTGATGCACTGCCCGTCCGGCCGTGCTGAGGCTGTGTCCCACATACAGCAACCAGCAGGATGTGCAACTATGATATACAACTATCTACTGGGGCTTTGGGGAAGAAAAAGGAGGAGGATTGGCAATAGGTGTTAGCTCAGAGCCGGTCTTCCTCAGCAAAAAAAAAAGTACTTCTCCAAACCTAATAGGAAGAACAAATGTAGAACGATGGTCAGTCTTCTGAAGAACAAGGTAATAATGACTTGCCTAACATACATCAAAGATTTTCAAACTATAGTATTCCAGTCAGCATAGTATTAGCAGAGAGATAAACAGATCAAGGGAAAGCAAGACTCTTCCATGGGCCAGCGTGTGTATGGAAGGTTGGTCAAGGACAGAGCAGCATTGTAGGGCAGTGGCAGACACCATGAACACTTGAATACATGGGGCAGGGACAAACCATTTCCTAATTGGAAAATGCACTGTATTCCTCTCTACTCCAAGGACAATAATATATTTATTGTAGATTTAAATGTGAAAGACAAAACTAAAACACTTTCAGAAGTAAGGTAATTGTATTTTTGATGCAAGTATAGGGAGAATTTTCTCATACAAGAAAGAGTGAGCCATAAAGGAAGAGACTGACAAACTCAAATATATTAAAATTAAGAGAGTTAACAAACAATGAAGTGGGAGAAAAATATCTGTAATACATGAGATATAAGATTTTATTGATTTATTCTTTTTGTGAGGAAGATCAGCCCTGAGCTAACACCTATTGCCAATCCTCCTCCTTTTTCCCCCCAAAGCCCCAGTAGATAGTTGTATGTCATAGTTGCACATCCTTCTAGTTGCTGAGTGTGGGATGCAGCCTCAGCATGGCCAGAGAAGCGGTGCGTCGGTGCACGCCCAGGATCCGAACCCAGGCCGCCAGTACCGGAGCGTGTGCACTTAACCACTAAGCCACAGGGCCGGCCCTCCATTAATACTCTTATATTCAAAGTTCAAAGGAGGCAAAACTAAAAGAACACTGCTTAGTGAAAAATAAAAGATGCTAAAGGTAGGAAGAATAACCAAAGAATCAGGACATTGATCACTGACAGGGCAAGATGGAGATAAATCAGAGAAGAGAACATCAGGAGATTCTAACTACCCAAGGCCCATTTCTGAATTTTGATGATTATTCCAAGGCTATTATATTGCTATTATTAAATCTTGCCAAAAGCCATTTTGTACATTCTTTTCTGAATATATTTGATGATAAAAATTTAAAGAATTAATTAAGTTTGGAGAAAAACATGATTTGTATATCTTTGTTTGCCCTGTAACATGGCAATCTGAGTTTTAATTCACAGTTTTGGCAGCAAAAATTGGTAACAAGCCAAGTGTCCATTTGGAAAGAATAGGTTACATAAGCTCATCATTATATGTACCTTTAGAAATACAAAGAGTGGCATATATTGATATGTAGAGATCTGTGAGTTTTATCAACAGAACAATTAAGCAAAGTGTACTGCAATGTATATACCATGTTATCTTTTCTATAACTGTTATGGTCACTTGGCAGAGGCAGATGAACCCCACCCAAGGTTTGTTTGAGATGTAGAGATGGATGACACCACACATATGCCAAGAATTACCAGACCAGAAACTGAAAACAATCAT